GACTAGCAAATTTTAGAGTTATTAATGGACTTGATTGTAATTAGGCTCAACAACAGGGACTTCCATTAATTTTCAAGTTACAATCTAGTTTTTGTATTCTGAACAAACATTACAATGTAATCCAATGGACTAGCAAATTTTAGAGTTACTAATGGACTTGATGGTAATTAGGCTCAACAACAAGGACTTCCATTAATTTTCAAACCCTCAATCTATTGTTTGTGACATTTAATAATGCATTAAGTTAACATTTTTCCTTTTCTATTCAAAACATTTTCTATTTTTTGTTTTCTTTATAAAAATAGAAAATATCTTCTGTTGATTTTTCCTTGGGAAAGAAAAACTGGAAACGAAATTGTTGAAGTTGAAAAATTGTTCTTCACAAACAAAAAAAACTGAAGAACGTGATCACATAACCTATTTTTCACTTGTAAAATTTCAAAAATTGAAACTTGTTTTTGGGATTTTTTTTCTACTTTTATTTACTTTGGCTTATGGAGAACTGTGGGCTTCATTTGGTATATAGCCATTTGTAGTTTTTATTTTCCTAAATATATATATATATATATATATCTTTTTTACATAAAAGCATACAGAGGCTTGTGTGTTTGTGTGATACGAAAATATAAATAAGAAAATTTTCTAGAAAATCTTAGAAACAGTTATTTTATACTTTTTTAATCACATGCTATATTTTTACTGTTTTCCAGACATAGTTTCCATATTCAACTACCACAAAGAGCTTGGTGGATAGACATAGATTTAGAAAACAAAAACAGAAAAATATTCCATATACCAAGAAGAATGGGTGACTTTCCAGAACTCAGTTCTCAATACTCTAAACACATACTTCACCACTTTTTCTTTGGAAAGAGTTTCTGGAAAACACTCCGAATATTCCACCATTTTAGGTCCCCAACTAAATACTCTATATGATATTTAAGCTTAACCCTATTTCCTAATGTAGGCAGATCAGTCATAATTCTTGACCACCATTCTCAAATAATCATGTGTGACACATCCAAACTATCATAGTACTGAAAGATTTTTCTACAACGTGGAGGAGCCTTATGCTACTAATTCATGCACTTATATGACACATGCATTAATTGATGCCCCCTTAAAGAGTTGAATTTTTTCATTATTTTGTCATTACGCTCTTCGGTAATAGTTGGAACTCTTATGATCCTTAGCTAGAAAAGAAGGCCCTAGCTACATAACAAGCATAGTGTGCTAACTCCCTCTTGCACCTCCTATAAGATTATAACATGATGTTCTACAACTAGAACATTCCTATTCGTACAAAAAGATATATCACTCAAAATTGTATATTCTGCATGCAAAGGTCAACTATTTAAAAAAACATTTTCCATTATTTCAACCTCATAAAGTTAAACTGATGTTTCTTCTGTGCAACACAAGACTATCACTCTTAACAAAAATATTCATCAATGATTCGGAAGAGGATTCTGAGCTCAGTTTCTTTGCTGCTCTTTTGAGGATTATACCAGACATGAGAGAGGGACAGGGATGTTTGGAGTGGTCCTAAGAAGGGCCTCTTCAAGGTCATATGATGCTAGGAGGAGATCTTGAGAAACTCCACAAACATTTGGCAAATTACTTCCCTTGAAAGTTATTTGGATGTTTCTTGTATAAAAGTGAAGCAAAATCTCCATACTGTTACGTGTTCAGTGTAGCTGGATATGAAGGTAATGGAAAAAGCCTTAAAATTTGTAGGACATAGCTGGAAGGTAATTGGTTCCATCTGTCTTCAAAAAAAAAAAAGGTAATTGGTTCCATCCAGGAGGAAATATGGGAATGACAGGTTACAAACAGCAAAGGAACTTCTGTACATGGGTGCTAACTCCTCGATGCCTCGTATATAATCTACTTTTTTCCACTCAAAAAAATTATTGGTTTCCACTGGTCCAAGTCCTTAACAACTACATCAAATGATTTTTCTTTAGACATCTTAGTGGGTACGTATTTCTTTTGTATGAATCTACCTTTGATGAAGAATGTGAGAAAAAAAGTTCGCAATCAGACTACACTTCCAACCCCAAGTTCATAAGAAAGAACAACATTACTTTCTCTTTTTCTGTAACAAATTTTGATCTGAAATGAAAGAAAGAGTCTATACGAACTGACTTTTAGGCTTGACATAACTGAATTTCCACCGAAGCAGTCTTGCCAAAACATTTGATAGATAAGTCAGATTTATATTCAGTACTTTCAACCTTAATCTAATATAACACTAGCAAAATCTGAAGCAACCTAGTGTTTTACAAAGGGTACCTAACATCCTGTCAAGAATTAGTTGGTTTTAATAATAATATGTTTTTTTTTTTAAATAAGGTTTTAATAATAATGTGTTGATCTGATAAAAAAGGAACCATATCTCTTTCCCAAAAAAAAGGAACCTTATCTTATTGATATAAGCATAGCGTTTCTACTTAGATTCTTTGGCCTGAGCATGAACTTACACAACCCAACCAATCTGTTTGTCAAGTCTTGTTGTTCCTAAATACGTCCTAGTGTTCCTATAAATAACATAGGACCTTCTTCCATATGAGATGCTCAAATGTCAGACTTTTCTTATCTATTAACATATGGCTATTTAGATGAGCTATTTCACAGCAGCTGAGAGACCCACATTTAGCAAAGGATTCAGCTTATTTCATGAAGTTTCATTAATATAGAGACCTGAAAGATTCAAATTTGGATATTGATTAATACTGAAGTAACCAAGATCTAGTTGCTTCCAATGAACTTGTGATTTCTGGCACAGTATATACTAGGAAACTGCATGAGTGTTTAGGGCTTGTTTACCATAATTTGGATGTGTCTAATCGTCAATCAGAGGACTTTGGCACAGACAAAAACCCTCTTCCTGATAAATTTGCCAAGAGACTCGAGAAATAACTTAAAAGTCCTAAATCAAATTACCACAGAAATTTGCACTTTCCAAATGAGAAAATCAATTTAAAACAAAGAATTACCACTGAAAATTTGAAGAAAGGGAAACTAAATAAAAAAAGTCCTAAATCAAATTACCACAGAAATTTGCACTTTCCAAATGAGAAAATCAATTTAAAACAAAGAATTACCACTGAAAATTTGAAGAAAGGGAAACTAAATAAAAAAGAAAGAACATGCATCGAGAAGCCACATACCTTCTACTCCAGAATGGAATACCCCAAGCCCAAACCAATAAAGATAGTTATTTATAGGTGTCAGATCATAAACATTAAGATACAACAGAGAACGACTGCTTCCTCCATTGGCCTGCTCCCTTGTCTCGCTTGAGCTAGGGCTTGAACTTAACGGAAACAACCGCATTGTTATCAATCACCCCTACTCAATCCTCCAATTCTAGATTACAAGCCATTATCTTCTATACCAAACCTCTAACGAACAAAAAACAACCCAAAAGAGAAATGATAAAGTTAATATTGAATCCACATTACTTAATAATAGGTTTATACAACAAAATAAAAACATACGGTACAGAACCCCGAAGTTCAGTTTTAAAATGTAACTCAAACAAAACCAAAGGTTTCCGAGAAGAGTGAATAAAAGAAAATTGTAGGTTTTCAAGTATTATGAAAAAGAATAAAAAAATACAATAATTAAAAGCAATTCAAGTTAGTCAATTAGTCTTGTAACAGTCAATTACTAAATGCCATAGCATGAGGACTGGAGAAAAGAAGCAATCAGAAGGTAACCTAAATAAATCATCCGGCTGCTAATAAAACGAAAGAAAACTAGAGGAACAAGAATATAGTTTCGAATTCCAATTTACATTGAACATAAGTTGAAAAAGAAAAATCAATGCCCGTGATTTTCTTCCAGTTTCTCAAGGACCAAACGGAGTACAGACGTCGAAAAGGACTTAAACTTAGCGAATCAACCCATGCTTTAACCAGAAAAGCAAAAAAAAAAAAAAAAAAAGGATTAAAGCAAGAAATCGGAAACAAGGAGAGTAAAATCAGCGTATATCCATTGGAGAAGTTAAATTTGGCGGGTAAATAAAAAGATTTAGATAGAGAAGAGGGAGCTTACAGAAGAAATTCGTAAGGAAAAAGGAGGAAAGATCGTAGCGAGAGAATAGAGTTGCAGGAAAACTGAACTCTCTTTTGGTTTTTCTGCGTAGAAGGGAAGGGAGAGAGAGAGGGAGTTGAATCATGAGGATAAAAGTATATTATAATTAATTTCTACATTAAGACTTGTACTTTTCATTGCTAAATATTTAATTGAGGTTCTAATAAAATTTAAATATTTAATATATTTAATTGAGACTTTTTACTAATTAAAATTTATTATATTTAATATGAAATATTGTAAAAAAAAAAATTCAAAATAATACAAAATTTATGTAGAAATAGAAGAATACACATATTATAATATCTGAAGCATTGTTTGGTTAAATTTTAATAAATCTTCATTTAATTTTGATATTTTAATTATTAGAAGAGTAAAATTTCATATTTTATGAAATTATTATTTTATTAAATTGAAAAATAAATGTAATTAAGCTTAAATTGAACCTTAAAACAAAAATAAATATAAAAAAGAATGGTCCCTTCTTTAAATTCTGGGAAAGCAACCTTTCATCTAACCTTTAATTTTTCTTTTTTTTTTTTTGGGTTTTATTTTATTCGTTTCCACGAATAACAGAAACAAATCCAGAAAACGTGTGTATATATATATATATATATATATATATATATATACATACACTATATTTATAATTGTATTATAAAACTCAATTATGATTATATAACAACCATATTGTTATTGTATATATTCATTAGACATCGATTATACATGAATTACATTCATCTATAGTTACACATAATCAAAACAAATGGAATAATCTCATCATGTGATATGTGGGACACACACGCACATATATATTATATATATACACAGAGGGCCACACAGTTTGGATCAAAAGAGTTAAACATTAAGCAGGTGTGGGGTGGGTCTCATCCATAAACTGCATAATTGAAAAACTACTGCTAATAATTTAAATCTAAGCTATTTCCTTCTTTATGAACCAAAATGACAAATGAAATAAATATATTTGTGAATAATCACGCATATAGCAGCCAATCTCAACATTAGAAAAATTATATTTACATTATAAAAGTATTCTATTCATATATATGGGTGTTAAAAATATGAGCTGCAATCTCCAGTGTCAACCTTTAAATACTTGCACACTGTTTAAGCCACTGAGCAGATAATCTAGATAGGCACAACCTTTGTATTTCTCGTACAGCAGGCAGGCTACGTATAAGCCCCCATAGATAGTGGAGCTTCCGTATATCAGTTGCCGATACAGTTGATATCTTGTGTGTCAACAATATTATAGTACAAAGAAGATGTCTTGCCATCAAATGTTGAGACAAGTTGATGTACAGATAAACCACAGTAACGCTTGCCTAGCCGCGCAATGCAAATGTCAATCACTCTCTTGAACATACAATCGTCTTGAATCATTGGTTGCTTTACGAACTCAACTAATGGCATCCACTGCATGTGTTCATACAAACTCATCATCCGAGAAAATATCTAAGGCTAACCAAAATATAACCAGATTGTTAACTATATTAAATATAATGGTGTTCTCAGAGAGTATTAATACCTTGGCAGCTTGAATTTCAAGATCATCAACCTTAATTTTAGTTGATAGAGGTTTTAGCATGCAGATGAAGAACAAATCTGACTTTTCAAAAGCCACGTTGTGAGCATGCCTGCAATTGACATCAACCAAGAATTATATGAACAATAATTCAACATTGCATGAGGAAACGTCCTGCTGTGACTGCATTTCCGCAATACACAGAACTCTCTCATCCAATTATGTATCCAAGAAGTGAAGTATATACAACCTGAATGCTACAACCTCTACAAACTCTGTATCAATCTGCAGAACAAAGTAATAAGCTTATATTAATGGAATCGCCATATAAGAGTTTGACGTAAGATATTTCGGCTATTTGTATGATATCTATGGACATCAATTACAGAATTCCTACCCCGGTTTCTTCCTTGACTTCACGGACGGCTCCCGTAAAAATCTCCTCTGACTTTTAACCAGATAAATTTAGAAAAATGACAACAAGAACAACTTAGATTATAGTCATAGAGCAATAGGAAACATAGATGTCAACATCCAAAGAAAAGAATCATACCTCTTGAATGAAACCAGTTGGAAGTTTCCATAGACCGACAGAAGCTGGAGCACAGTATTTCTCTTGGACCACAAGAACCTGGAAATTATAAACGAAAATGATTTTGAACACTGGACACATTATGTACATAGCTAATATAGTACATGTATGATACATGCGCAGAATATGATTTAAAAAAAGCTGGTAGTTAAATTAAACCCAGACCAGCACAATGCCTTCTAAGTTCTCCAGCTTCAAAAGATGCAGGATTATAATTAATACCGTCCTCTATGAAAATAGCAAGGACAATATAGATAACAAGATTAGGGCAATATCCTGCCGAGACCACAATATCAAAATAAGATCACCCAATTGCCAAATGGCCTGTATGCGGTAGTCCTATATCTCAAGGTGATGTCAGTTTATATATGCATGCTTATGAGAAAAACCATCTGATAACTCAGTCAGCTAGATTTCCTGAGTTAAAAATCATGGAGACAAAAATCAAACACAATGATTTTAGGTACTTGGACATAAAGTTTAAGACCTGATGAGAGATTGCAGATAAGAAAAGGTCACAGTCCTCTTTTTTTATATAGATATCATGAAAATGTTTAGCTAAACCTCCTGCTTCTTTCTGGGATGGATTATTGTATACCTCGTTTTTATGATTGATGACGAATCCCCCAACTCCAACTTGGTGTGAAGCATTAGCAGGAAGCATACAAGGTCCATCAGGAATCCAGTATGTGAGCATCACATAATCTCTCTCAGCATGATGGTATTCAAATCCTGCCTGCCATCCAATAGCTTTTCTTAGACACTCACATAATTCAAGAACAAGATGTAGAATAATGAGGTCTATTTCTAATCATGTTCAATTTTGCAAACCCAGATGCAATCTAATTGATAGACATTCAAGAATGAGTCTGTCTAGAAGTGTTACTTTCACGGCAACTGGAACCAATTCTGATCGTTCCACCGGCAACTTCAGCCAAACTCCCTTCTTCTCCTGCAGATCATGACATGAAGTACAATGGTGAAATGTCAAGAAGCTGAAGTAAATTTTCATAATTAGCATATGATTTTCGGCTTCTTGATCAAAGGACAAAACCATGTGTACATATACTTACCAAAGCTCTCCAATGAGAAATAGAGTGGCGAAGCATAGAGGAAAATGTAGTAGGATTAGTTGGTAATTGTTGTGGATCAACTATGACTCCACCATATTCATCATCAATGGCTTCAAATACTCTCTGGTTCCTGGAGAAGAGAGGTGGATATAACCCTTTTGTTCCATTTATCTGATATAAATAATTTCCACCTCCAAGTTTTTCTTCATTTTTTGCTTGGTAAGTATCGTTAGAAATACTCGAAGAAGATGCTCTTGGAGATATTCCTGAAACAGAAAGAACCAAAATCACCAAATTCCAGCAACAACAATTCTGTCAGATTACTTCATTCAGAAGAATCAAGATAAAAAAAATTTAAAGCTAAACAATGTGATAGATATATATAAAAGTAAGAACTGAAGAAACCCTTGTAGTTGCAAATCAACAAGAAAATTACCTTTACAAGAATAAAACTGAGGAGATAATCCAGCGCCAGCTCTGTTCCAGGAACTTGAAACTGGGCTAGAATTTGATGATCTTCTCATTAGAACTGTACTCTCAAAGTGAGAGAGAGACTCCATTTCTGACAGCACAAATGAAATCCTAACTGCCCTTTTACTTCAAAATGACCACAACCCCACAACTCAGAGATATCACTCTCTCAATGTATATATAAAATATCTATATATATATATATATATATATATATATATATATCAGAACAACACAATAATCATATATACCCAGAAATAGATATAAAATATATATCAAAAATCTTGAATTTTTTAACAGTTATTCCTGTCAAACAAGAAACAGAGAATCATCAACCTTGGGATATATCGTTGATCGGAGTGAACTAGAATGAGTAAAATGAGATGTCCCAGAACGCAAACAAACTTGTAGTAGACGTTTTGGGTTAGTACAAACACATAATGACTGGATTTAGCATACACACATAAATATATGTATATATATACACACACACCGTCAAGCCATAAGAGCCATGATTAGGCTCGTATGTTAACCAGTTAATTGCTTTTTAAACGCAAGTTTAACGAAGTGGGAGTATTGCTTAACGCGTGGTCTGAAATGGGATGACAAAGACAGACGAAGAAAATCAAATTTAAAAATCTGCAACTTCTTAGCAACTCGATGAAGGAAAAAAAAAAAAAAAAGAGAAAAACAGGAGAAAATAACTAGAGAGGTAAAAAAATTGGAAATACAAGAGGATACAGGATGGTATATACTTGTTCTTGAATAGTGACGTGTAGCAATAGATAGATATAGTCCGGCTGACTAATTTATAGTATAATTTAACTAAATATTTTTTTTGTTGTAATATTAAATTAATTAGTTCATCTATGTGGTTTTTATTTTAAGCTAATGAAAAAAAATATATATAAATTATTACTTGAAGAATTTATGAAAGTTATAATGACTTGATTGATTAAAATTTCACTTTATTTTTACTGTATTTTAGATTTTTTTTTTTTGAAGTGTAAAAATTGAAACACAAGTTTTATCTATAATCTAAAATGAAACCATGTTTTTTTAATTAAATTTTATAGTAACTTTTTTAGGATAGGAACAAACTAAATTGAAAATAGAATAAAAATTATATTGAATTTCTTATTTGATTAATAATTCATGTTTAAATTAATCATGACTTACTTGAATTTGAGTGAGAAGATAACAAATGTGATGATTTTTTTTTTTTCTTGAAAAAAATTAATATGAATGTGATGGTCTACTATTTACATAGTTTGTATACTGTATGAAGCAAGAATATTCTTAAGGGTAAAAATAGAAAGGTTACAAAGATTCAAGCTACCACTTTAAATGAAATAAATTGATAGAAAAATAAAATTATCAGAAAGTAAAATTATTATGTGTAATAAATGATACTTAGTTTAATATCTTATTCATAGTTTTTTTTTTTAAAAAAAAAAAAAGTAATTTTATTTTTTTTTTTTAAATTAAATATAATTTCACCCAAAACGACATAGTTTCTTCTTAATTTACATTTAAAAGAAATATTTACATAATCATAAAAAAATGGGTTCACATAAATATGACGTAAATTTTGGAGCTGTACCTAAAATTACTCGGGAGTTTCTAACGCGCTGTGGATAGCGCGTGGAGAAAGGTGCGCGTACATAATCGAGATTGCGTGGATAGCATTGCAGCACGTGATTTTCAGATATCTGGATGGACCAGGCAACAAATAAGAAATAATCACCTGCTGCGATGACCACTATGATTTGGTTGTGGCAAGATGATACTATGTGATTGATTTGATGTTAGTGAAATCAAACGGTGGAGAAATACAGGTGTAGGCTCATGGCGTTGTTGGAGAAGCAGGGAATATAATATCTTCATTGGTGGTTGGTGGAGTTCTAGTGAGGTCCACGTGGAATAAGGAAAAGACAGGAGAGTGGCAGAGGGATATGTTTTGAATTGTCTGTGAATGTGATCCCATTGTGTTGGAAAAAATAATTATAATTAATTAATTTATTAATTTGTGGGATTAATAGAATATTTTGAAGTTATAACCACCCTAAAAAGTATTAATTTCCATTACACGAGAACCTAATCTAATTTACTAATCCACTGCACAAGAACCTAATTTGATAATGCTTTTTTTTTTATAATAAAAAATTATAATTTTTACATCATAATTACTTCAGTTAATAAAAATTGAAGTCTGTGATTATTTTAACTAATAAGAATTTAACTCTTGTAGAATAGTTTTTGGTTCACAAAGTATGATAGAGAATTTCCACCAGCATAAATGATGTACATGAAGCACATTCTTGCTTGCAGCTTGGAAATTTAAAGCCAAGGTTGAATACTTGAAACTTGCAATGTATTCTCTTAAAAGAAAACTTATGTAACAGCACTGGAAAGCCCTTATTCATAGTTCACAATGAAATATTGATTGCTTCATCCAATTCAATTTCGCATGACGATGCCGAGGAGATTAAGTTGGAAGAAATTGATCCACTGGAGACTGATACAAATTAAACAAAAATCACAAAAGAGAAGAGAATTTGCTGCTGGAACGTCTCCTAAACTGTGTAATGTGGGTTAACATCGATGTCCAATCCCCTTAGTTTTGCAAAGGACTCGACTTTGCCTTTCAGAGTGTGAAGCTCCCTAAGTCTGGAAGCCAGAAAAGAAAAATGTCAGTTTCTTTTTTCACATAAGTGTAGCTGAAATTATATGAACAAATGTTTTGGACTGAATATTGAGGCTCAGAGAGAAAAATGACGAGTGCTGTTTTTCATGTTTTGTGTAGACCTGCAACTTCCCGTCCTCTATATGGTTAAGAATTTAGGATCCCTACATACAAATTATTAAGAATGCAAGGCCACCGTGAACAAAACTCTAACCGGCTCAACTTTACTCATTTATGTACTTGCACCTGTTGGAGAGTGTGCGGTGTTCTATTTTGTGGATTAAACTCATATATTTTGGGATGGGAACTAGTCTGTGTGGTAAATATAGTAAATTAGAAGATATGTGGCAAACCTTGCGATCTCTGCACGTCTTCTGGCTTCTTCGGCCATGACACTGATGTCCCTGAAAGTGTGCTTCTCAGAGAAGTTCTTAATGCCGCTAGACTGGAGGCCGTGGAGTGTCCTCTGTTCGGTTGCCCATGCAGCCTCACGGGCTTCTTTTCCAAAGTCCTTCTGGTTGTTGAAGGCCGTCTGTGGAAATAAGTAAACAAACTCAATTAGGAATTCGTCAAATTTTTCTACAAGATTGGGACCATAAACATTAGAGAAAAAAGAATACGGGAAATCATTCCATATCCTGAGTTACTGTCAACACCGAATGTAAACAAAAATTCATCAACACAACTAAATCATGGAAGAAAATTTTAGTTTACTGACTCTTTTGTCTATCACCAGGTTCCAAGCTCTTCCACTAAGTGCATATCTAACGCAAAACTTGATTGGATCAAGTAGCATATAGCTGAGAATGTTATACAACCAGATAATACCAGTCCAACCCCAGCCAATTGCACTGATTTCAGCCATACCCCATGTTGCTACAGCAGATATAATAGTTGCAACCTGTAAAGAAGTTAAGGCTCTATTAGTTTGTAACCAAATATCAGTCTCTGAACAAAGAGAGAGAGAAAGAGAGAGAGAATTGAAGTCCCTAAAGATGATATGCAGAAGAAAAAATTACTGCAAGCATAAATTTGACAAGAGGTATCATGCATTGTCATTGATATGACATAAGATTATTATTTGCAAAAACCATCTGCAGACCTAAAAGAAATATCTGACAAATCAGATATATGACCCAAGAATTTGCAATTTAGAGACCCTTCCATAATTTATTTATTTTACAAACAAAAAACCAACTTTCGTCCTATTATTCCTTTTTCTTTTTTGCTTCATGTGTATAACATGAGCACATGGCCTGGGGTTCAAACCCATTTCCTGTCATAGGGAGAAGTACCAACTAAACCGTAGGTGGTTTCCTTATGGTTTGTTACCTTGATTACCCCTTTATGATGCAAGATTTGTGCCTTTAAATGCTAAAAAGAAGGGCAGTAGTTCCCTTTTGTCTACAAGGAACACATCAAGAAGCAGGTATGAGTGACAATAATTGCGTGTGTAATTCTGACCCCATTTTGATATGCACTCACCGAAAAGAGTAATTTTGATTCCACCATTTTGCATATGCACTCATCAAAAACTAGATAAACAATAAGTAAGCATATACATGCTGAATAGCATCTGGTGGTAGTTTCTCAAAGTCAATTCAAACAATAGAATATACATTTGCAACCCACTTACTAGTTGAGCAATCACGAAGGCGACAAGCAGCAGAAAACCTGGCCTTTCCCGAAATGACCAGCCCCTAGAGCGTGTCACAAATATTAAAGCCTGGCTAATGGTGCTAACTTGAAGATAAACTGCAGATGCTAACTGTCTATCCAAATTCTTCGCGGCATCCTTGTCTGACCGATCAATAGAATGCTTGTTCAAGTGTCTTACACCAAAATGAGTCTGCCAAATGGAGAAGGAGAGAGAGCTAAGCACTTCCTTTTACCCCTAAGCAAAACTTCTAACTTAGTTACTGGGATACAAAATTGTTTTTTAACCATATAAATTGACTGCCGTTCAATAGAGGAGACTAGGAAAGGATCAAGTACCGGGAAGAAATCAGTTTCATACATCGCCCAGAAGAAAATAAGAGTCATCATAGCTAGGTAAGTACCAATAACAACCCCAGTTGCAAAGATTTCACTGAGTTTCCAACTATCAGGAACTGGTGATGGCTTCACCCTGTCTTTGGATATTGTCATTATAGTACCTAAAGGAGACCATCAATTACAAGAATAAGAAAGAATAACTAAAGTGAAAATATATTAAAAATGATAAATAGAGATCTGATGATACAGTAGTAATTACCATCATTGAGAATGGCAATAATTAGGACCATTAAAGGAGGGAAGTTGAATCTCCAGCACACAGTCAACAACATGAAACCCAACTGTTTCATCAAACAAAATTATGAAGTGAGATTCAGCAGAAAAAGAAAAACAAAAAACAAAAAACAAAAAACAAAAACAAAAGAGCAAAAGAAAACAGAAGTGAAGTGAAGTGAGGGCGATCATTTATAGTAATGCTCAAACACTAATCTTCACATAAAATACACTCTTCAAACTAAAAGGAAAATAAGGAAAATCAAACTAAAAGGAGTAAGGGCAGCTTACCACTATACGAATCGTGATGGATACTGCATATATCTGGTAAAATGGAAAAACCATTAAGAAAATTCAGAATTTCATAGTTAAGGTTAATAAAGCACAATTTTAGTATGATGCTAAAACTCATCTTCCTACCGTGTAATTTTTCATTCTCTGGAAGATTGCACGGCTAGTTAAAACAGCACTGATTATCACACTCAGGCCAGGCTCTGTAAGTACTATATCAGAGGCACTTCGAGCAGCATCTGTAGAATCTGCCACAGCAATTCCTATGTCTGCTATCTTTAATGCTGGCGCATCATTGACCCCATCACCAGTCATGCCAACTATATGTTTCATAGCTTGTAACCGTTTCACAATCTCAAACTTGTGCTCTTCAGAGGGAAATGAAATTAGATAAAATGAATGTAAGAAATTTTACGTCTTTTAGGGGAAAAAAAAAAGACTAAGGGAAAATCAGATGCCAAAACAAATATTTTTACCAGGGAAGACACCAGCAAATCCATCTGCTTTTTCAATAAGTTCATCAATAGGTAAACCTCCAATTTCTGCATCCTTGTGCTCTCCAAGAAGAGAAGATGAAGGGTACATGTTTGTACCCATTCCAAGTCGCCTTCCTGTCTCCTTACCAATAGCCAGTTGATCACCTGGAGCAAGAACCATTAAGCCCACCTTACTAGAAAATACAGCAATGGACAAATATCTGATGAAATCAAAAAGAAAATTCAGTTTTCCATATCTGATTGGACCTGTGTCATTACCATAATGCCTGAGTCAATTTAGACTAGTATAAATATTTATGTTTATACATATATATCTTTGCTCTTTATTTGTTATACAGGAAGCTTTAATTTTTTTATAAAAGGAGAATCAGAAGGTCAGGACTCTCTAAATATATCAAATAAGAACCACAAACCAAAAGAATCTAGAGAGGCAAATGGATGCCATTCTAAGCAGGTAATCTTGCAGTCATAATTAAACACAATTAGGATAGCATGCACTCAGAAAACATATTTTTTGATATAAACTACGACCTGAAAAAGAAAATCATGTGCTATTGATCATCAAGATAATTATTGACATACTTATCCTTTAATGTAAACTCTAATAAATTTTCATTTATGAGCCAAAAACATTTATTAAGCTCATAAAAACAATTAAGCTGCTACTTGTGGCAAAAATAATAATAATAATAAACTAAGTATCATCAAAAGGATCGAATCCACAGTCCCTGTCAACTTTAGAGCCATTCTATGATAACCATTACCGAAACATATGATAAACATTACGGAAAGGTAAGATGCAATAGTTTTGATACACACCTGTAATCATCTTAACACTCACACCAAGCTCCAGAGCTCTTCTAATAGTTTCTGCACTGTCATGGCGCGGAGGATCAAAGAGAGGAAGAAGACCAACAAACTCCCAGGGTCCACCAGGGCTGTCTTTTGTACCAGCAGGAACTTCCTATCAAGAAAACAAGTCTTAATTCATAAATGGAGAAAAGGAACAAACTCCTATAAGATCATGAGTATGGAAGCCCAATTACCTGCCGTGCAACTGCAAGGGATCGAAGTCCCCGTTCAGCAAATTTATCAATTATTGCATGCACTCTTCTTTCAATATCAGATTTGTTCCAAGCCAAATTAAGAATCTACATTTTACACCAAAAGTGCCTATAAGTTTTAAGCCATATAAATTTGGTGAATAGTGAAACTGCATTTGGAAGTCTATAGTTCATACCTGCTCCGGTGCACCTTTGCTAACTCTGTGCATTTTACCAGATTTGTCAATGTACGTAAGTGCAGTCCTCTTATCAGTCGGATTGAATGGGAGAAAGTGAACTTCCGTAATTCCAGCACGCGCCTTATAATAGATCACCGAGTAAATGCAATTAGAAGATAGCTTTAATCAAGTGATAGAATATTAAAATCGTCAGATAAGACTCAGGATACTAGGAAATGCTGGTGGTTAGTTGAGCTGAAATTTAGTATTGCAGCAACTAAAGGTTTTGAAAACAAATTGGACACAAGTAGGCCTCTATACCCTTCTGCACCAAAAAGTAATATGCCCATGAATGTTATGAGTATCCACATGTTCCTGCTAGCTCATTTTTGATGTACATACAAAAAAAAAAAAACCAATTTGGGCATTCCTAAGAGTTCTCTGTATACATTCTATATAAGCATAACATTTGTTAGTTATAGCCTGTTTAACTGATCCTGTAGATGAAACTTGGTAGAGAATTCAATAATAATGATTGTCTTGACCTTTTTCCCAGGTAATAAATGACTATATGTTCCATCAACTATATTCTAGGTGAGAATCTAGAGTCTCTTTTCTCTATTCTCTATATTTGTTCCCCATGTTTTGATTATTTCTTTTTTCTGCTTATCCATGAGGATCTTTATTGGGAAGAAGAGGTAGCCTCTTTGTTATGGGCTTGATTTATGTGTGTTTGGTCCTGTCAAGCCAAAAGCTTAGAGCAGGAGCTTTACAAGCCAGAAAAGAAGAGACCAGTCCTTTCCTCCACTATTTTCTCTTCAATCTTGATGATGTGGGATACATGAACATCTATTTTTCTACACACATCCATCAGTTAAAAATTTCAATTCTTAGTAACTTAAAGACCTTAGCATTAATGTTATTTACTTGTTCAAAAGAGAAATATCTTACTTTCCTCCTGTTATGAATTTATGCCACATTTTCTTCATTTCATCCTACAGGCCGCTCACACGCTACCTAGAGATAGTTTTTCTACTCTATAATCCTACAATATTTTCTCCACTACATAATCCACATAAATCAAAGCGCTAACCTTCCAAGTAATATTGGTTTCACAGGAGAATCAAAAGAGTATTTATTTCAAAAAAAAAAAAAAAAGAGAATCAAAGGAGTATCTCCAGGAAAATATTTTTATATTGAAGCTCCACTACCTCTTTGGGATCAGCCAACATTGAAACAATAGCAGTATCAATAGCATCTTGATTCTCCAATCTTGAAGCTCTTGTAGCCATCAAAACTACCATATCCTTATCAACACCATTGGCAAAAACCTGTAATGAAGAGAATCATGTTAATTATCCCTTGAATTAAATTCTAGAATGGTAACTTATCTTCTATCTTAAAAGACCTAGACATACAAAATGGATGAAAAGACGCTAATCCCAACATATTGTTTTAGAGTTTAACAATATGTAACAACAAAAGGGAAATATTCAGTGATACTGTCCTTGATAACAAATTTAAAAAGCTGAAGATAGCTTTTCAACAGACTATTTCTCATTTATATTATACACCACAATAACTCATCAGCATATCCAAGCAGAATTCCGAATAGTTTCTTTATGCATCTAGTGACTTCATCTGCCACTTAATTCTTTCGGCCGCAATTTGAGAGAAAAACTATTACCTCTATCAAATTTTTGTCCACTGTAAGCTTGTTGAGTGTCAAAGTGCCTGTTTTATCACTACAAAGCACATCCATCCCAGCCATTTCTTCAATTGCAGTCATTCGCTTTGTTATGGCACCCTATGGAGGCATTAGAGTCCCATTAAGTTTATTTTCACAGAATAAATAGATAACAAAGTTCAAACTTCACACACCTGTTGGGACAACCGATGAGAACCAATGGCCATGGTGACAGACAGAACCGTTGGCATGGCAATAGGAATACCGCCAATGAGGATAACAAGTAGGTTATCTATAACTTCACGATATTTTCTACCTTGAACCACACGTATGGCAATGATTTCAAACACCATGCCAAAAGCAATTGAGCAAATGCAAAAATTCCCAATTGAAGTTAAGACCTGGAATTGTGAGGAAAAATGATGTCTCATTCACTAGAGAAAAGACAGTTTTAGAATTTACTTGCAATCCTCTCTTATCCAGGTTTCTGGACAAACATTAAAGTTATGACCTTTAACATTATCAACATCTACCAGCTTTGGTTCATTGAGCTATGGGAATCTAATTGAAGCTATTGCCCAAATGAAAAAAGTTCAGAGATAAACCTTCTGAAAATGCCCAACATGTGTAGTGGTTTCCACAAGATGAGCTGCCTTTCCAAAGAAAGTATGTACTCCAGTGGCAATTACAACTGCTTCAATTTCACCTTGTTTACAAGTTGAACCAGAGTAAACACCATCACCAGGATTTTTGGTTACTGGGAGGGACTCTCCAGTAAGAGCTGACTGAAAAGAGAGAGAGAGAGAGAAAGAGAGAATTATTGAGACCCTCAAGATGAAGCTGTTAAATATGAATTCTAAAATATATATATACATATATATATATATATATATATTACAGCAAACACCAAACTAGAACAAGTGCAGAATCATTATTTCTACATATATACATATATAGAATCATTATTTCTATTAATTAAAGAAGCTAACATTCATTTTCATCTACATGATTATAATTTTATACAAAATTCAGAAGTTCAAGGCAGTTGTAAGGAGATAAAAGGCACGTGATTAGGCATGTACTTGATCAATTTTCAGAGGATC